TCTGGCTATGCTGAAAGAAAAGGGAACAATCTTCCTCATAATATTGTTCTCCGGCTAAAGAAGTTCATTTATGGACTTAAGCAAGCATCTATGCAATGGTTTGAAAAGTTCTCTTCAGTAATCCTCTCTTTGGGTTTTCAGAAAATCAATGGTGATCACACATTGGTTTCTCTTGAATTCTTCACAAGGAACCATCATTCTTCTAGTCTACGTTGATGATATTCTTATTGCGAGTGATGATGAAGATGATGTTTCCTAATTTATAACTCAACTTTGAAGTCATTTCAAGCTCCGTGATTTGGGTGTGCTTAAATACTTTCTCGGCCTTGAAATAGCAAGATCAACTTCAGGAATCTCTATTTGTCAGCACAAGTATGTTCTTGACCTACTCACAGATGCATGCTTGATTGGATGTAGACCATTGTCTGTTCCTATGGATCCGAGTGTCAGTTTAGCTGCTGATACTGGTGATCTTATACCAAGTGCAGAACCATATCACATAATTATGAGAAAACTGATATATTTTACTACAACTCGTCCTGATATTTCCTTTGCAGTCAACAAGTTGAGTCAATATTCTTCTGCACCTCGTAAACCACATCTTCATGCTGCTCACAAGGTACTTCACTACCTCAAAGTCCCGATTGTTCAGGGTTTATTCTTTCCTGCAGATGATTATTTTCAGCTTAAGGCTTTCTGCGATTCTGACTGGTCTCAATGGCCTGATACTCGTAGAAGTGTGAGCGGTTCTTGCATATTCATTGGTCAGTCACTTATCTCATGGAAATATAAGAAACAAGATGTTGTTTCCCATTCATCAGCAGAGGCTGAATACAGGGAAATGTCTGCAACTTTGAAAGATATGCTTTGGCTGTCACATATGCTTGCTGGTTTGGGTTGACGTTCACCGTAGACTCTAGTGTTGTACTGTGATAGTACTGCTGCTTTACCCATTGCCAAGAACCCTGATTTTCTCGAACGCACTAAACATATAGAGCGTGAATGCCATGCTATATGTAATCTCATCATTGCTGGTCAACTGAAGACACTTCATATATATTTGATCTGAGAATCAGTTGGCTGATGCTTTGACTAAGCCTCTCTATCCGATGTTATTCAACAAGTTAATGTCCAAGATGGGTCTTCACAATGTTATGACGCCATCTTGAGGGGGCTTAATAGAGTGTGTATATACTTAGTCATAAGTTAATTACGGATAGTCAGCTTAGTCTAATCACACTTGTATATAAAGGAACACTTGTACATTGTTACACTTAATGAAGATATTTTATGTTTCTTCTATGAATAATTTCAATCAATAGATCGAAGCTTTTGCTCGCTTAGGCGATTTTTTAATTTCGCGATGGTGGATTTTGGTGTGTATTTGATTCAAGCTTGAGCTTCTTTAAATGATTACTAGATTTTGACCCGCGCTTGAGAAGCGCGGGTTTTGTTTCGGTTGTAACAAAATGTATAAAATGATCGGATTTCTATTATATGATAGTTTTATATGCGAAATTTGATGTATATTTAACGTTTTAGTAGGGTCTTTTCATTTAATTTGCATAACCGAGTCAGTTTGTGGTTGAATAGAGAATCAGAAAATTAAGTGTTGTGAGAGTTTGAAGAATTAAAACACATATTAGAATGAAACCAAAATTGGATGGATCCATGACCTATAATAAACTTAAAAATCAATACTATTAAAAACACCCAAAATTGTATTACAAATTTGTAGTTAAATCCAATAAATATGTTAATCGAATTATATAGTTTATTTATGTTTCGGCAATTTTGTTTTGACCCGCGCTTGAGAAATTTATAATAGGTAGGGAGACTAACTTTATACTATTAACCATAAAAAAAAATTTTATGGTTTCCACGAGACTGAACTCCAACTTATTCTTTTGTTTCCCACCACTACATCCTATGGTTTCCAGATCACCCAAATCTTGAACTTGTCCAATAACACCTAGATAAAAATATACTCGTGTTAGATAGATACACAACAATGGAGATAAGTTATAAAAATGGGAGAAAAGTAACCAATAAGAAAATTATTAACATTTATGATTCAAAATAATATACTTTTAAAAATAGAAGAATTGTTCCATAAATATAGGAAAGAATATTATCATTTAGGTTTTGACCCGCGCTTAGAAAACATTATCATTTAAGTCACACTTTTACAAAATGAAGATATCTAAATCATAAATCTATAAAAAACGATAAACTTACATTTACATCACAAATGATTAATTCCATGATCTCCCTATGTCTTTCATGAAATGTCTCCATGTATGAAAGATTTTGACTTGGATGCGACATGCAGTCTTCCTAGGTTTTATATCATGACAACTGCAAATTATTCGCCATTTTTGTTTTAGGTTTTTCAATGAATGATGAATATAGTGGTTAAAAGAGGCTATATTTATAATAGGTAGGGACGATATACATTTAGGTTACGCAAATGTAGGAAAGAATATTTAGACGATTTTAAAAAATATCTCTTTCGAGGAATAAAAAATATTTCTTGAAGATATTTTGAATTAGTTAAGAAGTTTAAAGTTTAAAGATTAATGGTAATACAACTAGGTAAGTTACCGAAATTTATGGAAACCAAACAAAGAATAACTAACCACGATATTGATTGTGGTTAATTTATAAACTTGTAGATGAAGCAATTCATTTATTTTAGTACGAAGATAATTATAGAAAATATTTTTTGCAATATTTTCTTAACAAAACGTATCTCATCCATTAAATGTCACCATGAGAATGATGATGTATCGACATATGAAGAAAAGTTAATACGAAAATATTTGAAATTATCTTGCATATAACAAATTTAGTTATTATTCAATAACAATCTTAATATATTATTTAAATATTTTAAAAATCAGATATCAAAGATATTACCAAGATCTTTTCTAATATTGCATTTTGACAATATCTTTTAATATCTTTCTCAATAAAATATAAATATTTATTGTTTTAATATTTATTTTAAATAATAGAATGTACTTTTAAATATTATTACAAATAATTTTAATTCATTTGGATTTATTAAATAAGAAATATCATTAATATAATATTTATAAATACATTATTCATATTCATAATTAAATCACTACAATAAATAATATATATATAATAACTTAATTAAAATTATTTTATAAACTATAAATTAAAAGAATTACATATTCATGACAACATATATTCATAGAGTTTACAACATATTTCAATTTATTAATGCAAAATATTAAAATATATATTAAAAGAATAAAAAAATATATTTAATATAATATCTAAATTACTATATTAAAATATAATTTAGTATATTTTTATCTGATAAAAACAATATTTTTTGTTGATTTTATTATACAGTATATTAAATTATATATTATGATTTAAAATTACAATTTATTTTATAAATATGTAAACATTTATAAGTATGAGAGCATCTGAACACCATATAATTAAATTATATTATAATAAATATTTATGTAGTCAATCTATAGATTATAACCGTAATATAAAGTTTATAAGATAATATAAATGTATGAAATATAATATAGAATATGGTTAGAGTAATTAATGGGAAGAAAAAGAATAAATCGGGTATATTTAATATGTGATATGATTTGTAACAATTGATATATATATATATATATATAGATGTAAGACCAAAAAAAAAATTACCAAAATGCCATTAATAGGGTGCACACAACTTCCATCAGTCGATTTTTAAAGGGTGCCTTCACTTTTAATAGTATAGATGATTTATTCTTTTGCTTGGGTAGCTTTTAGTTTGTCTGAATCTCTTTTCTTTGTGGTCTTTAATTCATACTAGAACCTTCTCGAGGCTACGCCCGGATTTTTTTTCATAAACTTAAGTAAAAATAATTTTATATATTATATAATTTTGACTATATATATGTGTATATTCTTACTGCACTGAAAAGTTTGTTAAGTGCAAATCCTTCTTGTTCTTAAAACATTGTTTAAAAATGTTTTTGTTGCTCAAATTCAGATTTAAATACTATAGTTGTGTGTGTGTGTGCGTTTTGCTACTTCTGTGGGAATCTAATCTTGAATAAGAGATAGAAATTTATAGATATTTAAGATTTATAGTTCGTTAAACTAAAAAAAAACTATAAATTTTTTTGTAGCTAAAACAGTATATCATTAAAAGAATGCAATTAAATGATTGGAATTAACAACACAAATACACCGGCCTAAAGTTAACACTCCATGCGTGTATCTTTTATATACATACCCATGCATATACATGTATGTGTGAGCCATGGAATGGTCAAGTCATCCAGCAAAGAAACCAGGTTGTGGGTATCTACTGAATTTTTTTTAGAAACTATTGGTCATTGTTTACTTGCTCTGAATTTGACTTGACCATAACTATAGCGTTTAAATATAATCATGATTCTTGAAAAAATTGTTACAAGAAAAAAAGAAAATTCTTGAAAATTTAATCTGGAAATAGAGATAGTTATTGAAAAGCATATATTGAGCCATTTTTCATTATGTATATATCCCAGTCCAACCAGTATTGAACAGTTGTGTTTTAATAGGCATAACTTGATTCTGTATTTGTAAACCGTGTAAGCTCCCAAAGCAACTGTTCCCAACCCCCAATACTATTACCCATATCACCTCTACGTTACGTCTCCTCTTGCATTTTTACCTAAATGTACAGTAGAATTTCTCCTTCATGATATGCTGACATTTTTTTGTTTTCTTTTTCTGGTTTCAAGAACTATGTGATGAATACATACTTATGCAAATGTTGTGCTCTCTGATCTAAAACCAGCTTCCGCTGCAGCTACATTCATAGTTTTTCCATATGTTCTTCCATTTGCAGCCACGACATTGGCACACTGTTTACTCTTCACACTCATTCACATATGTATTTGTAACACATTAACACATGTAGGGGTTTTAGTTTTTAGTTCAAGCTCTCATATTTCATATGTGTAGTTCATTCAAGTTATACCTTTGCAGTTTTTCAGCACGTCTCCCTTTAAGCCGGGTGGACATTTGCAGCCTTTTGAATGATCATCCTGAACAGTAGTAACAACAAAATAAAAGGTAAGAATCAATCATTGTAAGTCAGATATATAGAAATATAGGGAATGTTTAAACAGAAGAATGGGAAGTTAGCTAGTTTTGAGATATGCCATATTACACAGCAAACCGAATATGTTCTTCCCATTTGAACATGTTTCCAGTATCATCCATTGTTTATCCCACAACGCAATTCCTCTCAAGCTGCAATTTCCAATTTTAAACATGTGAAAAATTAAGGTAATCATGACATACATTTGGCATTTTTTTTACCTTCACAGTGTGTAAACGTCACCCAAAAACTTTGAACAATGGGACATCGACATTTTCTTCCTCCGAAAGTGTCCTGCAATAATGAAAGTCCTTTTTACTGAAACATGTATGTATATTTATATAGCATAACTCTAACCAAAGAAGAATATTATTTTAAGATTTTACACACCATGCAAGCTGTAATGTTGGTAGTCTTATTCTCCCAACACCCTCCATTGATTTGCAAACACTCGTTGGTTTCTATGTCTGCACAATCAAAGAACCATACATTAAAAATAGTGTATATTAAATTGAGATATGTATAGGAAGTAAAGAGAGGACCTTCGGTTAAGCATATGGGTAGCTCAGTCGTCTCGTGAAGCTTTGAGCAAAGGGCCTTAAGCAACGTTGATCTCTCCAACTTCCCTGTGATAATGAGATTATTAAATATAGAAAAAAACTAATAAATCTAATAATGTCAACACTAAAGAACATCCTTGCTTCTCTCACCTCTGTATTATCTGTTGTT